TATTATTATTATTGCTATTGTTATTGTTGTTATTATTATTATTGCTATTATTATTATTACAAATATTATCTTTATTATTATTACTATTTTAATCGTTATCATTAGGTGTTTACGTGAAGTTAGTAGTTTATACTATTTGTAAACAACCTTGAAATGTAAGACCAAATATTTCAGAAATATATATTGATATTGATATTGATATTTACAGATATCTTGACCCTTTAGGGCACCAAGAAAAACGGTTCTCCTAAACGAATGTTTGACTTGAGTCATGTATAATCGTATTTGCGTTGATGTATGATGTTGATGTATAATGTATCTTTATCCATATAGGTTAATATTTTGGTCAATAATGAAGTAAATTAGGCACGCATCAGTAATGGGTTTTTTTTTCCACCATTGTTCACTTAATGTTTACATTTGCTTGCGAACAATGTGAAGTATAATATTACTTGTACCTTACTTTAAAGGTTGTTTTATTTGGATGCAGTTATCTGATGTTCTTAAATAAAAAAAGACACAATACACAAAGATATAATATAGAATGTTTGAGGTTTGCAACATATTAATTGGATCGAGGAAAATGTGTGTCAAATCAAAATGAATCTGATGAGAGAAGGGGATAAAAATACATGTGAATTTTATATTCGTGATGAAGATAATGATTTCATGATTTTATCAAGATCGTTTTAAAAATAAATTTATTTTTGTATAAGTTTTTGTTCTAAAAATGTGTAAATTATTTTTTTAGTTTTATTTGCTTTTAATAGTTGCTTTTCAGTTTCTATAATTTAGTTAACTGCGTTAAAAAAATGGTACTGGGCAGATAATTTGGAATACTATAACAACAGTTAGTATTACAATATAAATTAAACTAATAATATTAAAAAATAATAAGTGAAAGCAGTAAAAATATTGTAATGCACATGTTGAGATCAAGATGAGCATTACAATAGCATAAGATATAAATTAATGTTGGTTGCATCGATATAAAGTTGATTCACGATATTTTCGTATAATCTAATTTTCCCCATCACTTAAAAATTCTCTTAGCCATGTTTTGTTTTGCAATAATTTGTTTAATTACAAAGTTTTATGATGCTATATTGTAAAGTGAATTTTCTTTTATTACCTTACATTTAATTTCAAAACACAATTCGGCAATATTTTCAATTTGCTAACAGCTAATCTATTTAAAATTATCAAACTGCTTTGAGTGTAGTTATTGAGACACTTTAATATAAAAGTTAATTAAATCTAAAAAAATGAGAAAAAAAATTATTAAATTATTTCTTGTGATCCAATTAATCTAGCAGCTTATGAATCGCATTTATGCAAAAGGTTAGTTATGAAACAAATTTAGGTCTTTGCGATAAGTGGAAGGTACTCAAATAAGCCTCTGATTCGGAAAACATTTTTGTTGTTGTAATTCGGACATATTTACAACGCAGTGAAATAAAAAAAGGTAGTAAAATTCGTATTTATGAAAAAAAACAAAAAAAAACGGAGAAAAACCGGTTACCCAGTTTATAATTTAAAAGAACCGAAAATCTGTTTTTCGAAACTTTGCCGTCTTTGCCAAGCCCTTATAAATACATTAGTGTTGACTAAAAATTTACTTCAATTTGAGTACTGTTTGGTTATGGTGAAGTTGTTACTTTTTTTAAAAACACACCTTTAAAATTTGTTAGTTATTTAATGAGATTCAAGGGTTGTAACTTTATTCTAAAGAAAAACACAAATTACTTTATTTATATACAATTTACAACTTATTTATAAAAAATGTTCTGTTTTTTTTTTTTCCAGGGTTTGGTGTCGTTTTCTTGATTATTGCATTGATATTACCATTCCATGTCTTTAATAATGTACTAAGAGCTTTCCAGAAACACTAATAAAATCTTTAACACCTTTTTCTACGTTTTCGCTCTGACAAGGAAGGTCTAAAGTAGTTATTGACGTTAACTGTTTAATATTTTTTAAGCTCGAAGAGGGTATAATTTTATTACTCCTGTCTATTAAATACATGTATGAACTACCTAAAAAGGTTTATTTGTTGAGAAAGCAAAATTTGTGACTGTGAATAAGTTAAGAAAAGCCCCTTTTTTGCAACTGTTTAACCCCTGTTTTCTATTTTCGGTAGAGTATAAATTTCTTAAAGAAAATATTAAACTGCATCTTTAACAATTTAGTTTTTTATTTTTGCAACATATCGGATCATAAAACAAAAATGTCGTGAAATATTAAAACACTATCATTTCCTTTTGATCGGAAAGTTAATAAAAATGATAACGGTCCCATACTGAGTGTAGGGTCCCTCAGTTTTTTATCAATTTATTCATTTACTCAGTTTTTTATCGATTTACATTAACTGTTTGATACCATAATGTTTTAGTTTTAATAGTAAAGTGCTGTTGTCAACTGTAGGGGAGACCGGGGCTAGTTGGCCGCAGGGGTAAGTTGACGAATTGCGTTTATCTTTAAAGCCTTTCATCAGAAAGTGATAAAAATTACACAGAATCTTCCTTATTGACTGTTTCATCATTCAATGTAGTATTGTCAGGATTCGCGCATGCGCATGGGAGATATTAAGATTTAAGTGTTTTTTGGACAAAAACGTAACTTTTGAAACATCGCTTCCTTTTTACTTTACAAAGAAAATAGTTAGTCAAATGGAAAAAAAATTATTGTAAAAGTTCTAGTTACAATTGGTTTACTATATTCAGTTTGACTTTTTTTAAAAGTTGCCGTTTTTCAGGATCTATAGACTGTTTATTGAAAAAAAAGCCTTCGGGGTAAGTTGACAAAATTTTTACGGGGTAAGTTGGCTCATAGCATTTACTATGGAGAAAAATATTTATTTTTATAAAAATAATTTTTTTAATTTTTTTAATTTTTAACAATATTGAAAAAACTTATTCTTACAAAAAAATTATAAAAATTTTTTTTTTAGGTTTTTTGTAACAGGTAAAAAGAGGGCTGCTGTTTTGGCTGTTATACGTACTAATATTTAGCACAAGCTAAAAATAACATCAAATTATTAGCTTAAATTGTTGCCAAAATTGATAGGTAAAAAATTTCTATTAATTTTGCACTTAATAGTACATTAATAATCACGTTTATAGTTTGCGTCAACTTACCCCGTGGTGGGGTAAGTTGGCGCAATTTTTTTTTTTTTTTTGAGGGCCCCGTAAGGCCCCAAGAATTTTTTTTTGTAAATCCATGAAACTTTTATAAGTTACCCAAGTTCATACGCTTTGAGACTACACTTTAATATTTTCAAAAAAGTGTGCTATTAGGGCTACAGAGCTCATAGAGTAAAAACCGAGCCAACTAGCCCCGGTCTCCCCTATTGAAATACTGCCTTTGAAAGGTCTATAAATACTCCCAGTACATAATCTCAAAAAATTGAAATATTATAGTTCAATAAGTACATAATCTCAAAAAATTAAAATATTATAGTTAGTAAATTCAATTGTAGCAACTTTTTTGGAAACCAAATTGGCTTTTACATGAAAGTTTGTTTAACTTTAAGTAGTTATAAATTCGATTGTATATTACTTTTTCATAAACTTTAGAGAACACTGGTAGAAGGAAAAATGGTCGGTAGTTAAACATATTATTACAATGTCCATTTATATAAACACGATTAAATTTAGCAACTCTTAAAATGTCAGGAAAAGTACTGTGTTCAAAAGAAGATGATATTAAATGAAGTGATTTTTTAACTTCTTTATAGGATATTTTTTTATTTGATATACATGATCGTGGTTTTTCTCCAATAAAATTATCAAATTTCTAATTTAGCATTACTATTATTGAAATTAGACTCGGACCAAGATTTACAAAGTGCTTGTTAAGATCCTGACATTTATCTAAATTAAATGTAATGTGTTTATTATCACAAATAGTTTTTGAGGTTTGATAAAGGATTTTTTTTTCTTTACCAGTTACTTTTATAATTAATCATATTTTTTATGCCTAATTTATTGTTATTTAGCAGATTAGATTAATACATTATTTTAGCTAATATTTTTTTGAAAAAACTTTTTATAGGTTTTGTATGTTTTTTTATTACCTTCATCTTTTGATTTCAAAAACTTTGTATAATGTTTTTGCTTTTTTTAAGACAATTTTATAAGATTACTCGTTATCCATGCATTTTTTAACTCTTTGTTTTTTACTTCAGGTGTTATTATTGGATAGACAGTATCAAAAATACATTGAAAAGTAGCCGTAAAGTTATTAAATGCCTGAATATGATCCTTAGCTGAGTATACATTTTTTCCAGGACTCCTCAAATAGTTTTTTTTTTTTTTAATTATCGACAATTTTTTAGTAAGGTTTCTTTTAGTGACAAGACATTTTTTATTATCACTAATAAATAGAATGGCCGTTGCTACTCGAGGCGCAATGCGCTCTATGCAGCCGTATGCTGCTTGGAGCGCAATACTTTGAACGCATGTGCTAAATCTTGTTGATGTTTTGTTCAATTTTGATGTGATTTGCTTTTATTTTGCGATAACCTTTTCGTTCAAAATAATGTCGCTAAAAGTTCCTGACTATCTTGGGATGAATTTTTTGGAGCAGTTGAAATGCACTGTAATTAAACATTCCAACCTATGGTTAATTTCACTGTAATGAAACATTCCAACCTATCGGAAAATGTTTAAATCCGTGTTTTATAATTTAATTTGCAAACATGGTGGATTTAATTCAAGCAAAGAAATAGGGAAAAGAAATTCAGTGCATATTTTACTTACATAAATGCTTGCAGTCTTAATTGTAACATACGTATATTGTAAATATATTTTATCAATGAACAAATACTTTACAATGTTCTTGTAAATACTGGGTGGCCACTGGTCATAGAAATCATGGAAAGGTTATTGATTTTTATTTGGTAATGGAATTCCTAAATTTCCATTTAAATTTATGGAAAACTTATAGAACTTTTTAAAATTATCTTTATTTTTTTATACTTGTTATATTTTTAGGATATTCGCATAGAAAAGTACAAGCATGTCTAGTATAAGTCTTTTTTTTAAATTTTGTTTGAGCTTGTATCAGTCAATCAGTTATGGTCAGGTCAGGTCACCTGCTACTAGTAACATTTAATCCAGTACAACCTGTTTCATAGGATCAACTCATATTCTAGTTTAGTTTCAGTTTAAGTTTCATGGGAATTGGAGCAGTAATAAGTTAAGAGTTATGCAAGAAACATCTGAGAAAGGCAGAAGAAACTCAAACTGCTCATTTAAATCTTGTACTGTTTTAAGTGAGTTGTTTAAAATTATGTTTACCGATAGTGAAATTGACCAAGTGGCAACTGCTAAGTGCGTGGCAAGTACCTAACATTGTACTCTAGTAATTTTTAAAAAACGTTTATGAAGAGTCGTGGAAGAGTAATAAAAAACTCATGGAAAATATCATGTAATTTCATTTTTAAATTTGAAAATGATGAGAGTGGCAACCCTGTAAAGCCATAATATATTTATATATTTATATTTATGTATATATATATATATATATATATATATATATATATATATATATATATATATATATATATATATATATATATATATATATATATATATATGTATATATATACACATTTATGTATATATATCAAGTATACTTAAGAATTTGTGTACACTTAAAAATATACATTATTATTTGTTTTAAAAATGCAAAAAAGGTGTTTATCTTAGTTACTTTCATAAATACTTAACTTTTCTTTTAGATCTAAAACGTATAAAATTAAAATATTAAAGAACATTAGAGCATTTTTGAATAAACTTTTTTTGTTGTTATCATTTTAGATCAGCCAAAAATAACTATCCAGCCAAAATTTAAGCTGCTTTAACAAAATATAGAACAGAGATAATTGTTAAACAAATAATAGAAGCACACAATCATGTTATTGGTGAAAATATTTATCTGTTATTGGTAAAATATTTAAAACATGTAATAAATGATATTTTATCATTTATTTATTTATTTAGTTTTGTTAATCTGTCATTAAAGTTCTGCTTTTCACGGTGTACTGTTTAATTTACAAAAAATTTTAATTAAAGGTTCTTTAAAATTTAAATTGCTTAAATAGAATGAATAAATAAAATATTACAATAATGTTGTGCATTAAAAGACTGCAGTGAAAGAAAAGTATGAAGTTAAAAGCTTTCTTTTTTTAAATCCAAAAGTTACATAGTAAATGAATTATGAATAAGTAATTTTCAGTATCATACAACCTGATTAAATAAATTTTTATACAGTAAATGAATTATGAATAAGTAATTTTCAGTATCATACAACCTGATTAAATAAATTTTTATATAGTAAATGAATTATGAATAAGTAATTTTCAGTATCATACAACCTGATTAAATAAATTTTTATATAGTAAATGAATTATGAATAAGTAATTTTCAGTATCATACAACCTGATTAAATAAATTTTTATATAGTAAATGAATTATGAATAAGTAATTTTCAGTATCATACAACCTGATTGAATAAATTTTTATATAGTAAATGAATTATGAATAAGTAATTTTCAGTATCATACAACCTGATTAAATAAATTTTTATATAGTAAATGAATTATGAATAAGTAATTTTCAGTATCATACAACCTGATTAAATAAATTTTTATATAGTAAATGAATTATGAATAAGTAATTTTCAGTATCATACAACCTGATTAAATAAATTTTTATATAGTAAATGAATTATGAATAAGTAATTTTCAGTATCATACAACCTGATTAAATAAATTTTTATATAGTAAATGAATTATGAATAAGTAATTTTCAGTATCATACAACCTGATTAAATAAATTTTTATATAGTAAATGAATTATGAATAAGTAATTTTCAGTATCATACAACCTGATTAAATAAATTTTTATACAGTAAATGAATTATGAATAAGTAATTTTCAGTATCATACAACCTGATTAAATAAATTTTTATACAGTAAATGAATTATGAATAAGTAATTTTCAGTATCATACAACCTGATTAAATAAATTTTTATATAGTAAATGAATTATGAATAAGTAATTTTCAGTATCATACAACCTGATTAAATAAATTTTTATATAGTAAATGAATTATGAATAAGTAATTTTCAGTATCATACAACCTGATTAAATAAATTTTTATATAGTAAATGAATTATGAATAAGTAATTTTCAGTATCATACAACCTGATTAAATAAATTTTTATATAGTAAATGAATTATGAATAAGTAATTTTCAGTATCATACAACCTGATTAAATAAATTTTTATACAGTAAATGAATTATGAATAAGTAATTTTCAGTATCATACAACCTGATTAAATAAATTTTTATACAGTAAATGAATTATGAATAAGTAATTTTCAGTATCATACAACCTGATTAAATAAATTTTTATACAGTAAATGAATTATGAATAAGTAATTTTCAGTATCATACAACCTGATTAAATAAATTTTTATACAGTAAATGAATTATGAATAAGTAATTTTCAGTATCATACAACCTGATTAAATAAATTTTTATATAGTAAATGAATTATGAATAAGTAATTTTCAGTATCATACAACCTGATTAAATAAATTTTTATATAGTAAATGAATTATGAATAAGTAATTTTCAGTATCATACAACCTGATTAAATAAATTTTTATACAGTAAATGAATTATGAATAAGTAATTTTCAGTATCATACAACCTGATTAAATAAATTTTTATACAGTAAATGAATTATGAATAAGTAATTTTCAGTATCATACAACCTGATTAAATAAATTTTTATACAGTAAATGAATTATGAATAAGTAATTTTCAGTATCATACAACCTGATTAAATAAATTTTTATACAGTAAATGAATTATGAATAAGTAATTTTCAGTATCATACAACCTGATTAAATAAATTTTTATACAGTAAATGAATTATGAATAAGTAATTTTCAGTATCATACAACCTGATTAAATAAATTTTTATACAGTAAATGAATTATGAATAAGTAATTTTCAGTATCATACAACCTGATTAAATAAATTTTTATATAGTAAATGAATTATGAATAAGTAATTTTCAGTATCATACAACCTGATTAAATAAATTTTTATATAGTAAATGAATTATGAATAAGTAATTTTCAGTATCATACAACCTGATTAAATAAATTTTTATATAGTAAATGAATTATGAATAAGTAATTTTCAGTATCATACAACCTGATTAAATAAATTTTTATATAGTAAATGAATTATGAATAAGTAATTTTCAGTATCATACAACCTGATTAAATAAATTTTTATACAGTAAATGAATTATGAATAAGTAATTTTCAGTATCATACAACCTGATTAAATAAATTTTTATACAGTAAATGAATTATGAATAAGTAATTTTCAGTATCATACAACCTGATTAAATAAATTTTTATACAGTAAATGAATTATGAATAAGTAATTTTCAGATCATACAACCTGATTAAATAAATTTTTATACAGTAAATGAATTATGAATAAGTAATTTTCAGTATCATACAACCTGATTAAATAAATTTTTATATAGTAAATGAATTATGAATAAGTAATTTTCAGTATCATACAACCTGATTAAATAAATTTTTATATAGTAAATGAATTATGAATAAGTAATTTTCAGTATCATACAACCTGATTAAATAAATTTTTATACAGTAAATGAATTATGAATAAGTAATTTTCAGTATCATACAACCTGATTAAATAAATTTTTATACAGTAAATGAATTATGAATAAGTAATTTTCAGTATCATACAACCTGATTAAATAAATTTTTATACAGTAAATGAATTATGAATAAGTAATTTTCAGTATCATACAACCTGATTAAATAAATTTTTATACAGTAAATGAATTATGAATAAGTAATTTTCAGTATCATACAACCTGATTAAATAAATTTTTATACAGTAAATGAATTATGAATAAGTAATTTTCAGTATCATACAACCTGATTAAATAAATTTTTATACAGTAAATGAATTATGAATAAGTAATTTTCAGTATCATACAACCTGATTAAATAAATTTTTATACAGTAAATGAATTATGAATAAGTAATTTTCAGTATCATACAACCTGATTAAATAAATTTTTATACAGTAAATGAATTATGAATAAGTAATTTTCAGTATCATACAACCTGATTAAATAAATTTTTATACAGTAAATGAATTATGAATAAGTAATTTTCAGTATCATACAACCTGATTAAATAAATTTTTATACAGTAAATGAATTATGAATAAGTAATTTTCAGTATCATACAACCTGATTAAATAAATTTTTATACAGTAAATGAATTATGAATAAGTAATTTTCAGTATCATACAACCTGATTAAATAAATTTTTATATAGTAAATGAATTATGAATAAGTAATTTTCAGTATCATACAACCTGATTAAATAAATTTTTATATAGTAAATGAATTATGAATAAGTAATTTTCAGTATCATACAACCTGATTAAATAAATTTTTATACAGTAAATGAATTATGAATAAGTAATTTTCAGTATCATACAACCTGATTAAATAAATTTTTATACAGTAAATGAATTATGAATAAGTAATTTTCAGTATCATACAACCTGATTAAATAAATTTTTATACAGTAAATGAATTATGAATAAGTAATTTTCAGATCATACAACCTGATTAAATAAATTTTTATACAGTAAATGAATTATGAATAAGTAATTTTCAGTATCATACAACCTGATTAAATAAATTTTTATATAGTAAATGAATTATGAATAAGTAATTTTCAGTATCATACAACCTGATTAAATAAATTTTTATATAGTAAATGAATTATGAATAAGTAATTTTCAGTATCATACAACCTGATTAAATAAATTTTTATACAGTAAATGAATTATGAATAAGTAATTTTCAGTATCATACAACCTGATTAAATAAATTTTTATACAGTAAATGAATTATGAATAAGTAATTTTCAGTATCATACAACCTGATTAAATAAATTTTTATACAGTAAATGAATTATGAATAAGTAATTTTCAGTATCATACAACCTGATTAAATAAATTTTTATACAGTAAATGAATTATGAATAAGTAATTTTCAGTATCATACAACCTGATTAAATAAATTTTTATACAGTAAATGAATTATGAATAAGTAATTTTCAGTATCATACAACCTGATTAAATAAATTTTTTCAGTTTTCAGATCAAGATCTTTACAAACATGTCCAAAAAAAAAAAGTTATCAAGTGAAGAGAAGGCTAAAGTTAAAGAACTGAGTCGTCTTTGTGTTACTACTAAAGTAATTGCTGATGAAATGAGAAAGAGTACAGGAAAATCCATAATGAACAAGGACATTTGGAACATCAAGGATAAATTCGTCAAGAAGTAAAAACAATTATTTCTTTGCATAAATTATTATTTTTGTAATTAAATAAATGTATATATATATATATATATATATATATATATATATATATATATATATTATATATATATATATATATATATATATATATATATATATATATATATATATATATATATATATATATATATATATATATATATCGCAGTGGATAGCCTACCGAAAGTCATTAGCGGAAAAATAAAAATTATCCTACCGAAAGTTTTTTTTATTGGTTAAGAAATATCACGTGTAACAATAAAATTGCTATATAAATATATTATTAAATTCTTGGAATTGCAATGTTCAGTAGTGTATCGGATATAATCTTTGCACCGCACGAATGCGTTCCAAATTCGAATCCTTCTTAAGGAATGTTTTTTACATTTCGATTGTTTTTTTCCATATTATTTAGGTTTTATTACGCTTATTAATTGAATAAATTATTTAGGGACGCTGAGAATAGCACAATGCATTAATAAAAGCAATGGAGTGTTTATACACTGACTGATTTAGGGATAGGCACCGAGGAATGTACATGCATTTACTAATTTAGGGATAGGCGCAGTGAAGTGTACATACATTTACTAGCTTAGGGATAGGCGCAGTGAAGAGCACATGCGTTTACTAATATAGGGATAGGCGCTGTGTAGTGTACATGCATAGACTGAGGGTTTTGGTATGGGGTGGCAGTCATTTATATTTATTTAATGGAAAATCCTATTTAATTTTTTTACATTTTTTACGTTTTTATTTTTTAAAAATAATATCTTAAATTTTCTTCATTTTACGGTATAACAAATATTGTTTATTTTGACATGTGATATTGTCAACCAATAAAAAAAACTTTCGGTAGGATAATTTTTATTTTTCCGCTACCGACTTTCGGTAGGCTATCCACGGCCATATATATATATATATATATATATATATATATATATATATATATATATATATATATATATATATATATATATATATATATATATATATATATATACATATATATATATATATATATATATATATATATATATATATATATATATATATCTTATACTGCTGAGTTAGGTGAGCATGATGATGTTATACTCACCTAATGTCAAATAGCCTGCTGCCGGGGGCTTCAGTACATACATCGACTGACAAATAGCCTGACTCGCCGTGGAGTGCTGCTACACCGACTGAGGGTTTGGTATGGGTCAGCAACATTTTCATTCATTTTTCTTCGTTTTCCCTCATCGTTTTCTAAAAATGCTCACTTAATTTAGGCTAGCAAAAAAAGTGAGCAATTGCGCATATAAATATGCTATAGTAGACAAGTATAATATATATATATATATATATATATATATATATATATATATATATATATATAATACTTGTGCGTGTAGATTAGAAAAAGATTCTGAAAAAGAGATTAGAACACATGAGGAAGAACTGCTATTAATTAGAAAAGGTGAAAATCTGATTAAACAGGGTAATCAACTCATCAAGCAGGGTGAGCGTAAAATAAAAGAAGGGGAATTACTGCTTCGTACTCATGGATCCAATGTAAACAGGTATGCATAGATAAATGTATCTCTTTCTTTTTATTTTGCACACACACATACATATTGTTTGACTATGTTTCACAAAACCTTCAAAATGTATATATGTTTCAATGTATTTTTTTATTATTTATAGTGTACCATGTAGAGTACCTAAATCATCTGCAGTCAATACATCTTGTACACCAAAACCTAGAAAGTCTTTTATTAAGCTTACAAACAGGATGAAGCGTAAAAGAACAGATAGTCTTAGAGAACGAGAGGTGGAAGAACTGCAACATGCTGTCAAAAGGTTTAAATTTAATTCTTCTACTGATGGTAGGGCTATTTTATATGGTTCAAATTTGTCATTGCAAGCTCTTTGTAATTTGAAACTTACAGATAGAACATGGACTGAATTTAAAAATATAGTGACTCATAATCGTCATCTTGTTCCTCCAGGTTTAACCAAGTTGAAGCAATACAAAAAATTGACATATCCAGAACAGGTTAAATATTCTGAAACCGAAGTAAAATGTAGTCTTTTCCATATGATAAAGCATTCAGTTTCTAGAGTGTTTGAATATCTTTTGGATTATGAAAGTAACTGCATAATGAGTTTATCACAAGAAGAGCGTGATAATGCACAAATTATTTGCAAAGTAGGAGGTGATGGTCAAAGTGATCAATCTGACTTTCAAAATTCAGCAACTATGAAAAGAGGTGTAGATGATCGCTCTGTGTATAGTATAGTGTTTGTACTGCTGGAGATCCAAAGTGGAGAAAAAATAATATGGAAAAATTTAATTCCAAATAGTCCAGATGCAACCCGTCATCTTCTTTTTTGTTTTGCAAAAGAGACTGCTAGTTTTATTCAGGAAAAATTTGAACATTTGAAAAATAAATTTTTTTATTGAAGAATATTGAATTTAAACTTGGTGAAAGTACTTTTGTAGTAAAGTCTAGTTTGTCAACTATTTATACCACAATGAATGATGGCAAAACACTAAACGCTGTTGTATCAAATATGCTTAAAAAAAAAAATTCATCTCAGTCCTGCCATGTATGCCTTGCAAATTCTAAAGAGTTTAACTTGAAAACTATTTGGAAAAAAAATATTAATTTAAACAAACATGTTTTGAAACTTGGAATTTGCAGTCTTCATCTATGGATGCGCTGTATGGAGTGGATTTTCAATACTGCTTGTAAACTCCCAGCTGTCAAGCAAGGAAGAAATATTCCATCACAAAAGAGTAAAGAATTTATTGAAAACAAAAAAAAATTCCAGCATTTATTCAAGATACAACTGAATATAAGGGTTTCTTTTGTCAGGAAAGGATGTGGAACAACCAATACTGGAAATGTTGCTCGCAAATTTTTTAATAACCCGATTGTGACAGGGAAAATTTTAAACTTGGATATCAGAATGATTAAGTTGTTTCGAGATTTACTCATTGATATAAACAGAACAACTACAAGACCGGATATAAAGGTTTTCAAACAGAAATCTGAACATCTATTTGCACTCATAACTAATGATAAATTTTTAAAAACCATACCTATGTCACAACCTGTGCATAGAGTGATAGTTCATGGTACTTCTTTTATGAGGTATTTTAAGTATCCGATTGAGAGTGCTATTGAAGCCAGAAATAAGGAAAACAAAACTGCTCGAATTGGTCATGCTCGTTTAACCTCTTTTGCAGAAAACACTAGGGATACAGCTAATTATTTGTTTATGACATCTGATATGTACCTCTTTTGCAAAAAAAACAAAATGGATAAAAAAAGAGTGAAAACAAAATAGTTTAAGAAAGCAAAGTGACAGTTCTTCTGATAACTGCTTAAAATAAAGGTAAAATAGTTTTATTATTAATATTGTTAATAGTTTTGATTGATTTTTTTTTGGTTAGGCAATCTCAATTTTAGTTAATTAACAATTCAAAGTTGCTTTTTTTTTTTTGTTTTTTTTTTATGTTTTTAAAAATAAATTTAAGAAATAATTTAATCAATTTTAACAAGCAATTAACTATTTTAGGAAGTAAGACCATGAAGAATCATACTGATGAGCTGTTCTGCGTTGAATTTTTAAAAAACGGCTATTTTCATAGCCACAAGTTATTAAAAACATCTATTAGAATAGAACGTTGAGAAACTGTGAAAGAATGCAAAGAGCCAAGTATCATATGATAGCAGAGTTGTTTATTATATTCAATGATATTGTTTATTTTGAAATAGTGTTCATATACATAGTTTGTAAAATTCTATAAAATATAGGCGCCTACTTTTTTTTGAATAAAATCATCCGGACTTGTGTAGTTTTCCGGACAAATCTAGAATTAGTCCGGACTAAGGACTTAAAATATTTAACTTATTTTTTCACAAGACATCAAATTTTTATTTATATTTCTATATTTAAAAACAATTTATTGTATTTTTTTTCGTTTAGTCCCTAAACGAAAAAAAATACAATAAATTGTTTTTTTATAAAAACCGAATATGATTCTTTTAAATATAGAAATATAAATAAAAATTTGATGTCTTGTGAAAAAATAAGTTAAATATTTTAAGTCCTTCTTTATTTATATGTCTATTTCCTCATTTTGTATAAGAGCAACGCATAGTGCGGCAATGAAAAAATTTTTTTTTTTTTTTTTTTTTTTTTTTGCTGTTTAATATTACAAAAACTAAATATATTTTACAATATTTTACATTAGTAACGACAGGATTTCTAGAAGATCATGAGGATCTTGTCATAAAGCCCTTTACAAATATATGGCTAACTTTTAATAAAAATACAATTTCTGTAGTGAAATAATAATACACCTCTATGCAAAAATATTTAGAAACCAAGATAAAACGTTAAAAAGCCAAGATAAAATTTTAAACCAAATAATATACAAAATAAAACAACAACAAACAAAACAAAACAAAAAGGCAATTAAAAATAAATCAAGATATTTTTAATTAAAAATATAATTTTTTTAAGTTTCTGTTTGAATGAAGCAAAAGTCATTAGGGTTGAAAAATCAAAATTTGGAAAGACTATTTTGTTCCAGAGATATGGACCTCGGTAAGAAACAAAAAACTGGTGTTTGCTTTTACGACAAAAAGGGGCAATAAGACTGTTATTATTTCAAAAAATATATTTGTTTTTAGGTTTCATACAATAAAAATTTTGTAATACATTTGGCGACAAATTTTCTCTACATTTAAACATGAAACATAAAATATTAAAGACATTTAGTTGATATATATTTAAAATATTCATTTCTTTAAAAAGTGTTTCGTGTGAAAAAACCGATTTTTAAAATTTATTACGCGAGTTGCGTGTTTCTGATGAAGGTAAAGAGATTTTAGCTTTGTTCTGTGAGTGCTTCCCCATATAATATTTGCGTAGTTTATATGACAATGTATAAATGAATAATATAATTGTGTTAACTGGTGTTTACTTAATATATTTCTTGCTTTATAGAGAATTCCGATGCATTTAGCAATTTTGTTGGAGGTATTATCAATATGATTTCTCCAAGATAGGTTTTCATCAATATATACTCCAGGAAATTTAGTAACTTTTTCTCTTTTTATTATTATATTATCAATTAGAAGGTCTGGCATGATATGGGGCAGTTTCTGGTATTTTAAAGGTGGATAAAAAAGTGTTCATTTAGTTTTTTCTATATTTAGAGACAATCTGTTTTGTTTAAACCAAACAGAAACTTTTTATATTATATATAATATTATATATAATATTAACAATTGAGATTATTAATGAACGAACAAAAAACATTTTAATTAGCTGTTGTTATTGACCGCCAGATGGCGTTAGCGAGATCTTGAGCATGTTTTTACAGCAAAAAGTTATTGCGAAAGGTAACAATGAAAAAAAAAAAACTTTTTAGTTGGCGACTTTAATATGAATTGTTTTGACTACAATGACGATAACAAAGTTGGAAACTTTTATGATGCAATTTTTGAATCTGGAGCAATTCCTTTAATAAATCGTCCAACAAGAATAACAAAAAATTCAGCAACTTTGCTGGATAATATTATTTCTACAGACTTGTTCAACAGATATTTCTGACCACTTTCCTATTTTCCTAACCATAAACGCTGACCAACCGCCTAAACAAAAATTAAATAAAGTTATAAAAAAACGTTTTTTTAAATCATCAAATATTGAGTCTTTTAAAAAATCAGCTCTCATTATTACATTGGAAACACTTAAATTTTAATGAAAACGCAAACAACCTTTATGAAAAGTTCTTTGTAACATTCACCTCTGTTTACGAATCTAATTTCCCAATTGTTACAATTACATTAAAAACAAAACACTTTAATAATCCCTGGATTACCAAAGGATTCAAAAAATCATCCAAAACTAAACAAAAACTATACATAAAATATCTGAAAACAAAAACACCAGCTAGCGAAAAAATTTACAAAGATTACAAAAAAATTTTTCGAAAAAATCCGAAAAAATTTTAAAAAAACTTACTATTCAAAATTAATTAATAAAGTTAAAAATGACTCAAAAAGTATTTGGCTAGTATTGAAAGAAATTGCTGGAAAACAAAAAATATGCTCAAGCTCTTTGCAACAAATTTAAAGTCAGGTCAGGTTTTCCTGCTACTGGTAACATGTAACCCAGTACAACCTGCTCCATGTCCTGCTGCCTTGTAGGATACGCTTTTTTAGGCAAAGGCTAGGAGAAGTTAACTCCGAATTAAAACACCCCCTGCCTTGGGGCTCTTGGTTGAGTAAAGGCTAGAGATGGTGTCTCGATAAAAATACTCATCTTGGGCAGATGTTACATGCATCCAGCTGCTGTCTTGTAGAAGGCCTTCTAGGCAAAGACTTAAGGGGTAAACAGATTCTATCTGTTGACCAGCCTCGCACCCCTTCCTCATCTATTAGGCTGGCGCAGATGTATTTTTAATACATTGTTTCCAGTTTAGGATGTTGAACGCTGGATCTTCTTGACTCAATGCGTGGGTATTGCTTGTGTCTCTATTTTTATGACTGGGCAACTCATTCTATTATCTCCTAATGAGGGTACAGCTCTAAAACTCAGTTTTATGGTTCTGAGGCCGGCTGGTAGTCAGGTTTCCCGAACTCTGTTGTAGCTCTCAGAGAGGCTGATTCCATCAACAGCCGAAAAATATCAGAGTACTAACAGTGCCATGTTGCGCATGGATGGTGTCCCTGTTTGTACTTTTGGTGTGCATTGCAGAGGCCACATTTGGAGCCCTTTGTTACGGCTTAGGGTTTATTAATAGTAATGAGGCTATTGCTTAGTTGTTAAATAGTGTACTGAGTACTATCTATACTTGAGTCAAGTTCTTTATAAATTTAAAATGACTAAAGTACCTAAAACTAAAAAACACAAAAAACCATCGTCATCACCAAGTTCTCTAAACCTATCATTTACTAATATTCGTGGTCTTCGAAGTAACTTTTCTTCTGTTGAGTCTTATCTCTTGCAAAGTTCACCAGACCTACTTGCTCTTTGTGAGACTAATTTGAGTTCGGCTGTCCCATCTTGTGATCTTAGTGTTGATGGTTATCTTCCTTTAATTCGTAAAGACTCCAATAATCACATGCTTGGCCTGGGCATCTACATTCGTAAGAACTCACCCATTTGTCGTGAAACTAGGTTTAAATCTACAGACTATTCATTTATGTGCTTTCGTTTAGCACAACTTCACTCTATTGCCTTTCTCTTTGTTCTATATCGCTCTCCTTCATCCCAAGATTGCACTATTCTTGATGTTATTTCTGATCAAATTGACCAAGCCCTCTCTCTTTATCCATCGGCCAATATCGTCGTTGTTGGTGACTTTAATGCCCATCACACCATTTGGCTTGGCTCTAGTGTCAGTGACTCTGCTGGCGTTAAGGCCCTCAACTTTTGCCTTTCTCAATCTCTAACTCAAATAGTCAACTTTCCAACTCGTTTTCCAGACAACCCTAATCATTTACCTTCTCTACTCGACTTATGTCTTGTTTTGGATCCTAGTCAGTGCTCAATTTCTCCACATTCACCCTTAGGTACTTCTGATCACAGTTTGATCTCTCTAAAACTATTATCAAATTCTTCTACTTCATCAGAAACCCCCTATCATCGTACCACATACAACTACCTTAAAGCTGACTGGGACTCTTTCCGTGATTTTCTTCGTGATGGCCCTTGGGTAGAAATCTTTCGTCTTCCTGCTGACAAATGTGCTTCTTACATAACTTCGTGGATTCAGGCTGGCATGGAATCTTTTATTCCCTCTCGACGATTCCAGGTCAAGCCTCACTCTTCTCCTTGGTTTTCCTCACATTGCGCTGCAGCAATTTCTAATCGAAACCGTTACTTCCATATCTATCAGCAAAACAATTCTCCAGAAAACAGACATCTGTTCACTATCGCCAGAAACCATTGTAAAAAGGTTTTGTCTGACGCCAAAGCTCGCTATTCCCAGGTCATTAAATCTCGTATCTCATCACAAAAATTAGGCTCTCGAGACTTCTGGAGAATCTTTAACAGTATCAATAATAAGGGCAAATCTGTTATTCCTTCTCTCTTGTATGGTTCAGACTTTGTCACCTCACCTAAAGACAAAGCTGAATTGTTTGCTAAGAACTTTTCATCAATATCATCTCTTGATTCCACTAGTTGCGTTTTACCTGACATAGCCGTCAAACAGGTTGATCCCTTGCTTGACATTCGCATCACCTCAGCTTCTGTATCTAAAGTAATTTCCTGCTTAGACTCTTCAACAGCTTGTGGTCCTGACAACATTCCTGTTGTAGTCTTGCAGAGGTGTTCTCCGGAGCTTTCATCCATACTTTCTAAACTATTTAACAAGTGCTTATCAGAGTCTTGTTTTCCATCATGCTGGAAAGCAGCATCTGTTATCCCTATTTTCAAAAATTCCGGAGAGCGATCTGATTCATCTAACTACCGTCCCATTAGTCTTCTTCCTGTCATAAGCAAGGTTTTTGAATCTTTAATCAACAAACACTTAATCTCTCATCTTGAATCAAATAACTTACTTTCTGATCATCAATATGGATTTCGGTCTTCTCGTTCTACAGCTGATGTGCTAACAGTAATAACCGATAGGTTTTACCGTGCATTAGATAGAGGTGGAGAGGTTAAGGCTATCGCACTTGACATTTCTAAAGCTTTTGATAAAGTTTGGCATGCTGGTCTTCTCCATAAGCTTTCTTCTTATGGTGTAGCTGGTAACGTCTTTAAGATTATCGAGTCCTTTCTTTCCAATCGTAGTATAAAAGTTGTCCTCGATGGACAACACTCTTCTTCACATCCTGTAACTTCAGGGGTTCCTCAAGGTTCAATCCTTGGCCCTATACTCTTTTTAATTTACATTAACGATCTTCCAGATATTCTCACATCTAAGGTGGCATTATTCGCTGACGACACTACCATTTACTCTTGTCATGATAAGAAACCTACACTCTCTGATTGCTTGGAGGGGGTATCTGAGCTTGAAAAGGATCTCACTTCTGCTACAGCATGGGGCTCACAGTGGCTGGTGAACTTTAATTCAGATAAAACTCAATTTTATTCGGCCAATCGTTATCGTAATAATTTAGATCTTCCTATATTTATGAATGGTAATGTACTAGATGAGTCATCTACCATTCATCTTCTAGGATTAACTCTTACTTCTGATCTTTCTTTTAAACCGTATATCAAATCCATTGCAAAATTAGCATCTGCTAAGGTTGCATCTCTTTATCGAGCTCGACACTTTCTTACTCCAGATTCTATTCTCTATCTCTATAAATCTCAAATCCGTCCCTGTATGGAATACTGTTGTCACATCTGGGGCGGATCTTCTAATGATGCTCTTTCTCTTTTAGACAAGGTGCAAAAACGAATTGTAAACATAGTTGGACCTGCTCTGGCAGCCAATCTCCAACCTTTGTCACATCGTCGTAATGTTGCCTCTCTTTCTCTTTTCTACAAATACTATAATGGGCACTGCTCTAAAGAGCTAGCGTCCCTTGTGCCATCTACTAAAATTCATTCTCGTGTTACTCGCCATTCAATTAAGTCTCATCCTTTTTCTGTGACTGTTCCTAAGTGCTTCAAAAACTCTTATTCTTCTAGTTTTTTTCCTCGAACATCAGTTCTTTGGAATTCGCTTCCTTCATCTTGCTTTCCTGATTCATATAATTTGCAATCTTTTAAGTCATCAGTCAATCGTTATCTTGCTCTACAGATTTAGTCTTTTCTCTTCCAGTAACTTCCAACTCTTATAGTGGTTGCTTGCAGCCTTGTTGGAAGTGAAGATGTTAAAAAAAAAAAAAAAAAAAAAAAATGCTTAAAGTCGATAACAATAGCTTGTATGAACCACAAATAATAGCTCATAAATTCAATAAATATTTCACTGAAATTGGATCAACTCTGTCAAGTGAAATACCAAAAACCTAAACCTCATTTTATGATTTTTTGATACCTATTGATAAAAATATTTGCTCTGAAGAATTATCTGCCGAACTATTATTTGATGAGTGTGAAAAAGCTTTCAAATCTTTAAAAAAATATATAGCACCTAGTGCAGATGAAATAAACGGAAATATTGTTATAGATTGCTACGAAATGTATTTGTTAAATCTTCAACTTATTATATATTAAAATGTGTTGTATCTTTGCATAATGTAAATACGTTAAATTTTCTTTATGTCGTCACATTAGAATTATAGAGTTCTATCTGCTTTTTTTCATGTTGTAAGAACTTAACTTACAATATTTATTTAATACATGTTTTACAGCTGTTATTCATTATAAGTATAAATTATAAGTTGTTTATGTTATCTATATTAATAACTTAAAAAATGATATATAATATATCATTTTTTAAATGGTTTGTTTTTATTATTTATTATTATTTAAAACTTTGATTGTTAAATTCTTTCAACATAAAACAAGGCCATAATTCTCATGCGACGATATGTTATAAATAAATATTTTTACTTTTTAAGGTTTCGATGATAAGATCCTTATGATCTTCTTTCGGAAACCTAGTTTTATATTGTTAGTACGACTTAAATGTATTACGACTTATGTTTATGTATTACGACTTATAAATTTTATAACACGACTAACATTGTAAACTGAAAAAAAAGGGAAAAAAAAATATGGGCCTTTCAGAGGTTTGGAGAGGCCCCGGCCAGTTAAAAATCGGAGGCCCCAAAAGAAAAATTTGCGCAAAACGCGACGCAAGATAATGTAAAGCCATTTAAGTCTTCAGATAGATCAGGACCCGATAAATGTCTAGCTTTAAGACTAAATGCAAAAAATTAGACAGACTGTCACACACAGATGTGGCGCCTTTTGTACGTTTTATCAAGCCAACGTGCTTGTCTACTGAAAACGCATTTTTGGGGAGGCCTGGGAATTAAGAAGGTACGACGTATGAGTGGAATGTTACACTGTTACTTTATTGTAAACGTTACAATTCAGATTTCACAAATGAATGATTCATGCATAAATAATTATGAATTGGTTTTTATTATTTGGTTTTTTTCGATATGTAATTATCTGTCACTATAAATGAATAGTTAGATATGTCACATTTTGAAAATGAAATCTAAAGAAATTCACTAAAAGTAAAACAGAATGAATTAGTTTTAATTAATTTTTACAAACGCTTTTTTTGTTTTTTGTTCTGAAAATGCAGCAATTGTATTTGAAAAATCTAGTTTTCGTGCAATATCGCAATTTATATTCAACATAGCAAGTCCATTCAACCGTTCCTGCGCCATAGTTGAACGATGATAATTTTTTATTTGCTTTAAACATTAAATGTGCGTTCGCCCGAAGCCGTCGATGCAGGCAAGCTGATAAAAATTCGTAATGCAATTGTAATGTTTGGAAAGACACCTGAAAGACCAAGTCCAAGTATTTCTTCCAGCAATTTTTTTGGTGTGCAGTCTAGTATAAATTAGCACCATAGATTCTTTTAAAAAATAAAACCTTATTTTCAAGCTCTTGTGATATTTGTCATATTTGTGCTGAAAATGTTGAGCAGCCAATACAAGACCTTCGTCATTCAAATTTTTAAACTGCCAGAGAAATCCAAAAAGTTTACAAATTTCTTGTAAAGACTGAAATCGTCGCGTGAGGCCAGATTTAATTGAGTCAATGATGACAAAATATACATTGATTTTATAATACAACTTGGCATCATCTTGACTTGGAAAATGACGATTAGTTAAAAACTCACATGAAACACCAATATTTCTTGCAACAAATTTTAACTCATTTAAAATCTTATCAAATTGTTCACGCAACCTTTGAATGTCATTACATAGATTTTCAATGTTATCCTTTTCAATATCAAGAGTGGCATGGCGTGCCTCGATGATTAGATTTGTCTAATGAATCATTGTGAGTAGCTTTATCCAGATAGACGACATCAAAATGCAATCAAATTTGGAAATATACTTTTGAATAGCATTGAGTTCCATTTTAGCCTGGGCTGTTAAATGTAGCACCCCAAGTTCATTTAAAGCACTTCTTACTGAGTTCAAATGTTGTGTAACTGGTTTAACGCCATCAATCCGTGCTGACCATCTTGTTTTGGACATTCCATGCAACGAAACAGGAAGATGTTGTTTTAAAATTTCCCACCTTTGAGGACAGCTACTGAATAAATTGTACATTTGCTGAATTGTTCCAAAATACGTTACTGCTTCTTTGCATGATTCAGCGCAATCGACACCAACTAAATTTAATGAGTGATTTCCGCAGCTAGAAAACATACAGTTTGGATTTTGTTGTATCAAAACCGCTTGCAACCCGTTATACTTTCCAGCCATATTAGCACCGTTGTCGTAAGCTTGACCAATCCAGGCTTCGAAATCCAGCTTCAAAGTTTTCAATATTTCTAGTGTTCGAGCAGCAATTTCTCTTCCAGTTTTTTTTTGAAAAGTTTTTAAATAAAATAAAACTTTCTTCAACTGAAAAGTTTGAATTATCTAAAATTTTATAACGAATAACCAGAGTAGTTTGCTCCTTGTACGAGCAATCTGGAGTAGCATCAACTATTATTGAAAAATATTTTGCTTTCACCATTTCGTGGAGAATTGCTGTTGAACAAATATCAATAAATTTGTTCTGAATTCGCATTGAAAGATAATGAGCTCGCATTCGCTGCTTACACTGTTGTGATTCTCGAACATGTTTAACATGCTCAGATAAAAGTGGGTCATATTTGCTAAGAAGCTCAATAATACCTAAAAAGTTTCCATTCGCTTGATCACCTATTCGTTGGTTAGGTGAAAAAAGTGCTAATCCACGTTCAGAAAGAAAAATAATAATATCTAGAATACGTTGGAATAATTTTTTCCAATTTTCAGTTTCAGTCTTGAGTTCTGATAAAAGTAAATTATCTACTGAAGTTTCACATAATGCTTCTCTACTAGCAGATTTCCATACAACATAGTTTTCTTTATGGTAAATTAAACTTTCGTGCAACGGAATACGATCTTTCAATCTTGTCCAACCTCTACTGATGCCCCATCCGGCAGAACTAGAGAAAAATGACACATTTGCAGCATTTTTGTTAAAAAGAAAACATGGTGCACAATACAAAGATTGTTTTTCAACACTCCAGCACAACCAGTCTCTTTTGCATGTTTCTCTATTTGCAAGAGTTTTGTTTAAGAAACGATAAGAAAATGCATGATGATTAGAGTCTTAAACGAAATTATTTGGAATTTCAAAACAAGTAATCTTAAGAAAAGAATTCACCTGACAAGAATTGTTCTTGTTGATAATCCCAATGTCAATAAAATTGAACGGGTAACCTTGATGAATCGGATCAGTTATTTCTGTTTCCATATCTCCAATTTTATTTCACCTTTCCTGTAATGAGATTTCGGTTTCAACCCGTTCCTGGTTTATAATATTTAAATTTCCTGCTGTTTGTTGTTCCAAAATTGGGTCTTCTGCAATTGGAACAATTATATTTTCAATGTTACCATTGTCACTCACACTTTGAGTTTGGTTTGCTTGTTCAATTTGAACTGTGTGATTTTTTTAAAAATGAATATATTTTTTTTTTAGTTGCTGCATACTTCTTCGGCCAATTCTTTTCTCCGCCGCCTTTTACTAGCACCACTATCAAATCTTCTCTTCATTTTAATGGTATCTGGAAACAATATTGAAATTTGAAAATATAACAAAATTATACATCAATCGAACTTATACAAATTTATAAAACGAGTTATGTTTTAAAATTAAAAAATATTTACCAGAACAAAAAAATATTACTATTCTCAAAGTTACGAAATGTAACGTACAAAACGCAATGTACAAAAGCGCAATATATCAATTTTATACAAAATGATAAGAAACAGTTCAAAACAAATTTAATCTTGTTTGATGAATTACAACTAAAAAATTTAGCTACTAATTAGCTCGCTAAAAATAAGCTACTAAAAAGCAGAACACTATGTCATAACTTAAAAACTCGTACGAGTTAAAAGTAATTGTATTAATTTGATCAAGCGCGCCCGACGGAGGGTTAATTGCATCATTACATGACGTAATCTTTATCATGTCGAATTTAATTATGAAAAAGAAATTAATTTATTATTTTAAGTTAACCTAAAGTTCAATTATTTAGAATAATTAGATTAAAATAATTACTTTGATATTTATTTTCGTGTTTAACAAATGTGTTTTGAAAATGTGAGGCCCCATAAAAATCGGAGGCCCAGGCCATATGGCCCATGTGGCTCCCCCTCTGAAAGGGCCTGTATACATATATATATATATATATATATATATATATATATATATATATATATATATATATATATATATATATATATATATATATATATATATATATATATATATATACACACACACACACACACACATATATATATATGTATGTGTGTGTGTGTGCGTGTGCGTGTGTGTGTATGTGTGTGTGTGTGTTTGTGTGTGTGTGTGTGTGTGTGTGTGTGTGTGTGTGTGTGTGTGTGTGTGTGTGTGTATTTGTTTATTTATAATTTATTGTTAAACAGCAAAATAAGTGAAATATATAGAAAAAAAAACTATTTACAGCATGATGTGGTGCCAGTTTTTTTCATTTATTGTAAGTGAAAATTTAAAAATATTTAAATTTAAAATCCAATTAAGTAACAATCTATTAAGAAAAGTACTTAAAACAAAAAGAGCAGAAAAATAATCCTCATTTTATCGTATTTTCACACATATAATTTTCATAGTTTTAACATTTACAAAATTTAAAAAAGGTATTGCGTTTTGAAAAATAAAAATATAAATGCTTAAATTAAGGCTTTTTTTTTAAGAAGTTTTTTTTAGTAGTAGTTTATGACCCCTGGCAACGCTCGTAGCAACCATGTAAAACTCTTAAAAACTTGGATGTTATACAGATTGGTATTCACTTTGTTGCTACTCTAAAATCAATAACTTTAACCAAAATTAAGCGGAAACCATTTACTAATTAAAATAGATTTTGTATTTTTGTGTGGATTTTCCTATGCATTTTATTTGTAGAACCACTTAAATATAGGATTTTGTAGCTTTATAAACCTGTCACAACTTTTGAATTTATCCTTTTTTTTTTTTTTTTTAGTCGGCAAAAGTTGTAATGGCACCCCCCCCCCACGTGACCCCTATTCGCGCCGGCCCTGCTCATACATTATTGTTTTGCAAACAATGATCTTAAAGAAAGTTTAAATTTGTCTTCGTACTATTAAATTATGGCGAAAGTACCAACTGGAAATAATACTTCCAAATACATGGACAAAATATTTATACCAATAGCTATAAGTAATTTATTGGAAAGACCTTCTGACGAGCTTTTTAAAAGATGCTTAAATAAGGAGATTCAGAATTTTAATAAAGCGTTGGACAATAATATATGTGAAGGTGTGCTCCAAAAAATGTTTAAAACGTATGTTTGTAACAAAGTTGAAAAACTTAAACATTTACATTCATTCAACTAAAATGTTTGAAACGGAAAAAGAAAAGTTTTATAAAAAGTTATTTTTGACAGAAGAACACATTTTTTGTTTAAAACGATTTAATTGTATACATAATCTTTTTGTCTTTAATTTTTCAAAAAAATAAATATTTTTTTGTGCTTTTTCTTTCAAAACTAAACCAGAAAAATATAGCATTAATTCAGGTTGTTGGTACAACATTAAATCATTTGTTTCTTTAGAAGTGAAAAAATTAAAACCAAGACCAAATATACATTAAAGCTTCCTAACTATATTATTTATACCAACTATGAATATGAAAAGAAAACCTCCAACAAAACGTATTTACCAGAATTATAGAATCAGTGAAAATTTAAAAAATCTTGTAATTTAAAATTGAAACTGTATTACTAATTTTTTATGCTAAAGTGGCTATTAAACGTTAATACATAATGTTCATTTTGCATCACAGATATTATTGAGTGTATGCGAGTTGATGAGAGCTTATATACAATGCTATATTAGAAAATTTGTTTAGTATCATTACCCCAGTGGTTTCCTTGTAGCTACAGTTGTACCTCGAAGTGTAAAAGTATATTTATAGACTTTTCTGCCTGTATACAATATACACACACATATTATATATGTATATATATTAGGGTGCCCCAGTCGCCCCTTATAATAAAAAAGATATGTTCATATTCTTAAAACTTTCTATTGATTCCCACAAGCAACTTGGTTGAATTTTTTCAAAATTTCATTGGATTTAGGGGGAGCACAAGACTCTTGAACACTTACCGGGTCCCTAATATTATTATCAAAAAAAAAGTATGTCATGTTGGGTCTCAAAAGTAGCGAAATTATATAAAAATTTCAAAAATAACAATCATTTTATTAAAAAATTATTATTTTAAAGTTTATAGCAAAAAAAAACAAACCTTTTTATAACTAAAAATAAAAAAAAGTATATTTTTTTAATAATTCCCAAATAAAACTTAATATATTTTTTTTAATGGTTGTTACTTTTGGGCAGGTAAAAACGCAATTCTAGGCGCCATATTTTTTATACTACGTAATATTAAAGAAGCCCAATTAAAGCAAACTTTAAAGAAGTCATTAAAAAGTGACGTTACAGTTTGTTTGTAATTGAATTTGAATAATAATTTGTAATCAAAGCTGAACATGCTAATATCAATAATCTTGCGAAAACTTCTTAGATTGAATAAAAAAATTAATATTGAGAGAATTCGTATTTATTGATGTTCATATATTAAATTTATATAACTCACATGCAAGATGTCGTCATTTAAAATATATATATTTTAAATGACGTCATTTAAAATATATATATATATATATATATATATATATATATATATATATATATATATATATATATATATATATATATATATATATATATGTATATATATATATATATATATATATTATTTATATTATACAACATACATATACATATATTTTACATATACATCTATTCAATCCTACGAGATGCTTTTCAATCCATTCAATCCTTCGAGGTGCTTTTCAATATATTATACATATACATCCATTTAATCCTACGATTACGAAGAACTTTTATTACCATTAATTCATTTCTCTATTAAATAAAATTAGTTTTAGTAATTAAGGTGCAATTAAATCTGCAAAATTATTAACCCCTTTTTTTGCATACTGTATCATATATGATACAGTTTATAAGTTGTGTATCTCTGGTTGAACGCGTGGCGATTTCTAACGGGAAAGAGGTTTATCTTAAGGATACAATATTTAAGTGAGTGTGTTATCAAAATGGCATCCGGCAGCAAATCAACTAATTCTTGTCAGTGCATCATTTAGATGAGCAAGATTCCTTTCAATCATAAACTCGCGAAAATTCCTAAAGTTTTTATTCATATTGGTAGTCCTCTTGTGTATTTATTTACCTGTTTTCTTAAACTTTTATTTCTCAACAACTCTTTTTGTAACTGTATCAGAAATGATACATCATGCATCTAAGGAAAATATTTGTGATTTTATATTTTTGATTTATTGTTTTTTCTTTAGTTATAAAACCTTTTTAGTATTTCTTTTGATCTTTAGCAATTATTCCAACATCTTTCTCTGGTCGAATGTCTTCTGGTATCCACAGGATAAAGACGCCTGTCTTGATCAAATTTGTAGATGACGACACAGATCTCGCCTCATTAGATGGAAGTTAGTTATATCTTCCTCATGAGGAAGATATAACTAACTGCAAACTATTTTTTAGAATTTCTTCTTCCAGTGAGGAAGTAGATGGCAGTGATGAAAGTGATGATAGTAACGACAATCAGTCACTTCCAATATTAATAAGAGCAAATGAAAGCGCGGGTCAAAAAAATTTTCAGTATAATAACTGCAAATCTAATGTACTATACCTAATCTCCAAAATATTAAAAATAAGCAACCTTGTAGTATTCCTCAACTGCCTATTTGTCTGGAATTCAAAATTTCATCACGAAAACCTTCCCCTATCATTCAACAATTTCTAAGTATAAATTTCTTCCCCTATCATTCTAATTTCTAAGTATAAATTGTCACTATCCTCTTCGCTTCATCAGTAGCTTAAACTTAGTTATTCCGAAACACCAATCTGCTAAATATGGAAATAAATCCATTAAATATCAATGTGTTAGCTCATGGAACAAACTACCTCCTGATCTAAAATCTCTTAATTCCATCTCTGAATTCAAAATCAAGCTTTTTAATTATCTGTTAAAAAAATACAAATAAATATTTCTACAAACTAATATTGACATTCTTTACTGTATATGTCAATTCGTAATCCTTTAGTTTTTAATTTGATATTTTTAACATTATGAAATTCTCTACTTATCT